GCCAACATGACAGCAGTCGCAGAATATAAGGACGTCTCGTCAGGCAGAAGAGGCACACCAGACTCAGCAGACAAGATAACAGGAGAAGCCCCAGGACAGGAGATCACCCTCCGCCCTCAGCACTCGGGGCAAGGGGTCACTCTCGGGGGTCACGCCTTTACCTTCCCGAATAAACCAGCAAGCCAAGACCCCTTTCATTACCACCAACCTCTACGCCCCCCAACTCTTACGTTGACACTGACTTCTCACGCTTAGGTTGTCCCTGCACATATCATTAATGTTACTGTTTACGAATTTACGTTTTCGTTTCTTTCTCTTTGATACGGCATATTCATTTGTATTATTATTTTTTTATTATTATTATTATTATTATTATTTTTTTTTTTTTTTACATATTGTGTCTTCACATACATTCCTTGATTTTAAACACATCGTTGTGCTCTTTTGAAAAATCCTCTCCGTTCACTTGTCCCGCTAACTGTTCTATTGTTCACATTTATATGTTGATTACCTGCTTTACTCACCTACTTGACTGCTCTACCAGGATGATCACTCAATGATTATAAATTGTATCAAGCGCCATACGTTTTATAACTGATTCTAACTTGCTTTATTGACATCTCTCAATGGCCGATATTTTGTCATTAGTAATGCTGGAGTTTAAACTTAGTTTTAAGGTATTGGTGAATATGTAACATATAATTAAATGGAGTTGATTCTGTTGCAATAAGAGTAATGCACTGCAGACACCATGTTTTACATAAGCTTACATAGTTATTATCACCCTAAGTTAATTTTAAGCCGGCTCATGGCCGTGAAACTGGAATCGCGCCTGCCGCACGGAGAGTACTACGAAGGAATTGCCCACTGCCGCACATTTTATTTACATGTTCATACAGCGCTAATATATATATATATATATATATATATATATATATATATATATATATATATATATATAATATATATATATATATATATACATTATATACCCGTATATATGTATATGTATATATATATACATATACAATATACATGTGTGTATTTATATATATGCAATATATATATATATACACACACATATATGTGTGCATATATATACCTGGCAAGAGAGGCGGGCTGCGGGCCCCGCGGGAGGGCGACTGCTGGGGCACAGGATGGGAACGGGAGCTACTCGTCCCAGCTGCGTTCTGGTAGCTGCCAGCCTGGTATGAAGCTTGTGGGGCAAAGCCCTAGGGAACCCCACAGGTGGGTCGGGTCCTGCAGCCCACCACCACCTTTTATGTGGGGCAGGGTACACTCCTACCAATGTTTGTAAACTCGACGTGAAAGAGATGGTCCACGCCAAACTTGCATCTGTGGCAGACAGCTGTCCCTGGCGGGATATTCATATTGTCCTGGGTGACTTCAATGCGGTATCTGGTTGTGATCGAGCTGGCTATGAGATGTCTGTTGGTCCTCATGGTTCAGGAGCTGCGCCCCCTTTTCTGGGACTTTGCAAGGTCCCAGAGACTGAGGTTTTCTGGCTCCTGGTACCAGCGGTCAGACCTGCATCGCTGGACATGGTACAGCGATGCAGGTAATGCAGCCACGGAGATTGACCACATACTCGTTAGCACTTGCTGGAGGATCCTCCAGAACTGCAGGGTGTATAGGAGTGCCAAGTTCTGTAGTACTGACAATAGATTGGTTGTGGCTACCCTCCGGGTCCACTCCTCCTCAGCGGTCCAATGACCACCCTAAGGTGTTTCATCTGGATAGCACGAAACGCTTGATGCAGCCCAAGAGTCGATTGGTGAACGCCCGAGGACAATACAGAATTTTATCTCGCAGGAGACACTGAAAGCCACAGATGCTTGCTGTGCAGCTCGTCTGACAGGGGATCGGGATTTGCACCGTTCTCAGGTGTGTAGAACTCGATCTCTGATAAGAAGGGACAAGGAACAGTTTATTAAGAGTCTTGCTGAAGACGTTGAAGGCCATTTCTTAGTAAATGACCTTCATCCTGTCTGCCAAGCCAAGAAAGCTGAACTCCAAGCCCTCTTCACAGGTGACAGCTGTTCGCTTAGTAAGTGGTCAGATTGTCTCAGATCCTGTTGTGGTGTCTCAGATCCTGAGTATTTTGAGCAGTTGTATCACGATCCACCAACAGTTAACTTGGATGCGGGTAGTGCCGTGATTCTGATGCCGGACCCACCCATCAGTGAGGATCCACCCTCCCTAACTGAAGCTATAGGGGCGATTTCCAATCTGAAGAGTAGCAAAGCAGCAAGTATTTGCGGCATCCCAGCAGAACTGTTAAAGGCTGGTGGTGAACCTGTGGCACGTGGGTTACATGCTGTCCTGGCTGCCAACTGCTGGTCCGGTACCGTTCCTCCTGACCTGTTGAGGGGTATGGTCATCCCTCTCTGGAAGGGGAAAGGGGACGGAAGGGACTGCAGCAATCACTGAGGCATCACACTGCTCAGTATACCAGGCAAGGTTCTTGCCTACATCCATC